TCGTCTTCTTGATGTCCACGTCATAAATTAATATGTCAAAGTGATGCTATCTTTGTCTCTGTACATTTTACATAGTCCCACCTCGTTTTATTTTATCATACATGGAGAGCCTAAGGGCAGGTGAGTCGAGACAGATAGTAACAAACAAGTATGGATTGTGGTCACAAGATAGGGGACGCTGGTGCGTGCACGCATACACACGTAAAAACACGCATGGGCACAGAACTTTATATTGAAAGAGCATAAAAATTCTGACATCACAGTTAACAACTAGCGTGCCAGAAATGGTTCTCGATTGACGCAACTGGGCATGTTTGTTTGTTTTTTTTTTTTTTTTTTTTTGCTTTATTGCCAGCTGGTCATTTATTTCATGGAAATATATGGGGCATCCATCTCCTTTCTCAGAGAGAGTATGGCAGGCTTTTAGTGTCCTATGTTCTCTGCTGCTGCACGTCATTGATTGATATGAGCAAACTTTATAACGGATATTTACCCAATTAGACAATTTCGTATCGTATTCTCGAGTGTTAATTTCCTAGAACTGCAATTTTCGTAATTGCTTGCTACATGTAGACAAAGTATTGTGTTTTCATAACGGTAGAACTAAGAACGCAGAGGTCCTTTGGTGAAATATTTCACACCGTTTCCAGTGCATATTTGCGAAACAAAAAATGGACAGTACATGTAACCGATATGTAGCACGGTGTAATTATTAAGAGACTGAAATATCATCAAACTCTTCACAACCGGACGACTAGCACTTCTCCCAAAGAATGCTATTTATCAGGTTCGGCGGTGATGGCTGTTTGTGATGAAAGTGCTCAGCATTCTATAATTGTCACCAAGGTGTGTGACGGTTTTATGTCGGGTTCAGCGTCTCCTCCCCCTTCTACCAGATAAACTGTGACATGAATACTAAATAAACGAATTAGAAAAGGCAGGCACTTCAAAGAGGACACTGTATATCAAAAGAGGTTCACTGGTAGCGATGTCTCTATTAAGCGCTTCCCAGTAGTGTTTCATGCACTAAATGATAAGCGTCTCATCTCTAACCCCCTGGCCACGTATAGCACCCTGAGGATATAGTGTTAAATACTGACCCATTAAGATGTTAGGACGATGGCGTGTATTATTATCTTAACTATGAGGTTTCTTAATCGACCATAACCTTGACGCCTTGACCTTAGAGAGGGAAATTATCGGTGATGTTTCTTATATAGATGGCGGTCTCCCTTACATTGACCCGCACTTTGAATAAATTCGTGAAATAGAACGCGGCCATTAGGTGATTAATTAATTAATTACGTTTCCAAAATTTACTGACGCTCTTAACTTACAGAGTGTTTCAGATACGTATCTACATTAAAGAGACAACTGTCCTAAGCTCTCCCCAGACAGGGTCACAGAGAATATTTCACTAGATATTTATCTAGACACATTTTTGGACACATTTCTCTACTGTCCACCGAGAGATTTTTGCCCCAAAAAGAGAAGAAAATGCGTTATCCACAAGTTTGTGTCTGAAAACTGTAAGCTTCAGCTTCTGATGATACCCTGTGCATTCCAAAAAGAAATAATAATTGACGCTTTTAATAGCAGCCCATCTGCTTACATGTATTATACCGTTACGCGCAAAAATAATTTTGGAGCGGTGCGTATGTTGTATGTTTCTGCTCATCCATTACTCCGTATGGCTTCCTAAGAAACTGGAAAATTCTGAGAACACATTATTCACATTTACTACTCTTTGATCTTTCAAATATCCCGACTCACACTAATGTAAGGGCAACGTATTTCACCATGCCAGCGCAGTAAACAGAAACGTATTAGTAATAGCCTTGTTGTGTGAAATCAGCAAAGTAAAGTGGAATTTCCTCGATAATCGTTCATTCAAAAATTATATTGGTATTAATCACGTTATTGGGAAATTGTTTCACGCTGTTCAGCATGGTTTAATGATTGTACGGATGTTATGAAAGTTTCGTGGAAGATGCTTGGAAAAAAAGATTTCCGTCCGACACAAAAGAACCTGTATTGCATGAACTTATATATAGAGCACTTGTTTTTGTACGAGAGCCATCTCTGATTTTGAAAACGACCCCTTTACTGGTTAGTTTTAGTAAAATACAAGGTACCTGATATACGCCAGTCTTTGACTTCCTCGTCATGGTCTCTCTCTCTCTCTCAAACTCAAATATTTACACACTTTTCCAGATACTCCTATCCCCTTACATAATATCTCCACCCGTTTTGCACACCAAGTACAAAATACATCAAAGGAAATAGACATAAAAAGCTCCAAGTTCAGCTGAACACACAGTCGGAACCCTGACAATCAGTTCATCCATCACGGATGATGAAGTGTAAAACTATTCGTGTTTTTTTTATAGTGACAGTTGCACAGACACAGCTGGGCAGATGATCTAAGCGCCGATGAGTCAGACGGTTTTGGACGCCAAATCTATATCTAAAGGCTTAACCAGCGTTCCACTGGGTTTTGTCTACTTTGTTTAGCAGTAGTTTTGTATAATGATGTTGTTGTCTTTGCTACGGGGGCACTGCCCGCTTTCCCAACGGCAAATAGTTTACTCTTTGCTTACTGGCGCGGCAGTTTGCATGTTGCAAGATTGCACGAACCAGATCGAACGAGATTGAACCTAACTTAGCTGTCTCTCTCCGTTGTGTGACAAGACAGAAGGGGCACAAATAGGATGCTTAGCATCATGCAGAGATCTTCTAGGAAAAAAATCCACAAGCCAAATTTCTCCCTATGCTTTTTGACATGAATTTTGTTTGACGTTAATTTTTCACGCAAATACACAGTTATTCCAAATTGTGTGTGCTCACACGAGGACAAGTTCGTTCTGGTATCGACCATATGTAGCCTTTGGTTAGGCACTAGTGATTTTCAACTTGTAATTGCGGTATTTTCAACCAAAAATCGATCGCGATTCACAGAAATGTAAATAGGATTTTATATAATAATGATTTTCAGTGAAGAAGAAGACCCGAGCTGCTACCGGGCAAGAAATCTTCCCTGTAATCTTCTCCCATGACTCATCTTTAACTTCATATCTCTGCTGCCCAGTCTTAACTACACATCTGAGCTAACAGACACGGGGGGAATCAAAGCATGTACTTTACTCTTGAGGTATTCCTTAATTATTTTACCTTTCTTGTAGTCAAGACTAGTATTAGGCCGCACGAGAAAATTGATCACAACAGACAACAACAGTGGCACGGCCTAAGTCATTTCTACCTGGCCCTATTGTTCCTATATTCTCTGAATACTCAATATAATTATTTAAAAAACACAATACATTTATGATTATTAATATTGCACCCAGGGTTCAGGAATACATTCCATCCATATTTTAACTCGGAATTTTATAGATAAGTCTGTAAACTGGGATATTTACCGTACATCGTGACAAGAAGGCATTACATTCTTGTCTATAGTTAACTACCTCTTTTCCACACTAATTAGAGAAGACACAGCGAAAACAAAAAAACACAGTAGAAATATAACGCCGCATAAAACTAAATAGATTGCCAGGGTTAGACCAACCGGAATAATTGTTTATGGCAATGTACTGTTTTTTTAACGGAATTCATTTGTTCGTGGAAGACCTCATTTGCCAATTGATCAGACGCGACAGACGCGCTAGAATACGGTCGATAGCACTCTATGGTTCAATTTATTTCAGAAATGTGGAATAAATCCACTTATTGCCCCGGTCGTCGGTACACACATTTACATATACAGCGGCGCATCTGCTGTCTCTCAACCTCTAACCAACGGAGAATTAAAGAAAAGATGAAGTTTTCCTGGAAACGATTTGTGTTTTTCCCCCGTGAAATCTTATTAAGAGGTTAAGATGAAAGGCCTCAGACACTGGAGACTAATTTACTAAAGACTGCTGATTATTTTCTCAATCCATTAGGGACGGCTTGTCATATAAAGATATCAACGGGTTGACATTCAATAACCGGCACATCTTTAACGGACAATAAATTCTCTCTCTCTCTCTCTCTCTTTCTCTCTCTCTCTCTCTCTCTCTCTCTCTGTGTGTGTGTGTGTGTGCGTGTGTGTGTGTGTGTGAACGCGAATGCGTTAATGTATGCGGGCGTACATGTATATATGTTTGGGGACAGGAATATTGAGCGTCTTCAGTCTGCACCTCGATTTTCACAGCACCCATATTTCAAAACGTCGTCGTCATTTGTGGCCCAGGCTTGCGGTACACCTCAATAGTACGACATCTTGTTCGATAACCTTCCCAACCCCTGTCTTAAACTTGGCGGGGAAGCCAACAGACCACACTGACTTTGATGAACTTGTCATTTTCAAACACAAGGACTCACAGCACGCGATGTTACGATACACGTAGTTTAAGTGGGAGACAACAATAACAGAAATTCAATAAACTGATAGCTTAATAGTTTGGTATATTTATTTCAATAACAGTACTTCACTTGTGTCTACGATCACTATCTCGTCTTATCTCACGAGATTGTGTGATTAACGGGCCTCACGCCCTCAAAAAGGGATAAACATTTTTACTGGGACCCCCTTGACAAACCCCTTGCCTTCCCCCCCCCCTCCCCCCCTCAACTCTTCCCTGTACACGACCACCTGGACATCTGCACTACAGACATGCTGAATATTGTATACATGTATAACTGATGAGTAAATTTATGACTTAGTTAAAGAGAGATAGGAAATTGAATGCTAGAGAGAACAGAATAACAAATATAGGCAAATAATGAGATAAATCAGCGAGGAAATTAACAAGTTCGTTCATTAATTTTCATAGAAAAATAAGTAAGAGTAAAACCCCCAAATAACTGTAAGATTAAAAAATGAAAGACATGTTTTCGTTATTTTTTTCAGCTCTAGTATTTCTATATTTCTGTTTATATTTCAGTTCTCGTTATTAAATAGACTAGAAATATTATATGAGAATCCAACATGAACTCCACCTGTTTTTTTGTTTCAGGGAGAAAATCAATGTTTCAGAGGAACGACAGTAAACTGGCTGAGGGCCGAGAGCCTCAACTAAATCGTTTTGTCAGTCAAATATCCTCTCTCCCTACACAGGTAAGACTTAGATATTATTTACGTCCACTTAATTGCTTAAATATTGAATATTGTTTGAAGTTTCGTCCTATCGTTTCAATGCTTGGCCCGAAATATCGCATTAATAACCTGAACAATTCTGCGCCAACAAATAATGTTTTCTGCGCGGACAGATCTTTAGATACATCTGAATACACTTCATGGAAGGAAATGAAATGTAATATAATTTTACAGATTAAGAAATTGAATTAACTGCGCTTTGTAAACGTCCAAAAAAGAGGCAACTTCCATCCATCATTTTCATGTCAAGAGGAGAGTTTGAGTCTTTTTGCAGTAAAACAAGTAAATGTGTTTGTAAAAACGACTTAGGCTCTATTCCCATAGATTTTAGATCGATCTATCCCCGCGGGGAGTCTCACTAGATTACTTTCAGATAATCCGACTTAAATGTCCGTCCCGCCTACTACAAGCTGTAAGAGGGTAATTAACTTTCGTGTCCGCCCGGCTGACAGCTATTTAGCGTGAACCCCCAGGGAGTTAGGTCGATCTAAAGTAGGTCGATCTAATCTATGGAAATGGGGTGTTAGGCTGTATTCCCAGAGCTTTTAGATCGATCTATCCCCGCGGGGAGTCTCACTAGATTACTGTCAGATAATCCGGATTAAATATCCGTCCCGCCTACTACAAGCTGTAAGAGGGTAATTAACTTTCGTGTCCGCTCGGCTGACAGCTATTTAGCGTGAACCCCCAGGGAGTTAGGTCGATCTAAAGTAGATCGATCTAATCTCTGGAAATGGGGTCTTAGACTGAAACGGCGGGTGCACACGCACACAGACACGTACAAACACGTACGCGGCCATAGCCTAATTTCTTTTGCTATACGCGAACGATTCCACCCATCAGATAATTCACACCTTAAGAACCAGTCAGGGTCTCAATCCACGAAAAGGTGGACGGGGTCGCGCCCGGGAGCTCTGTACGCCCAGCTAATTGCCGTGGATGAATCATTTGGCCACCAGTCTTCCGCTATCAAACATACCAGAGTGCTCGCTTGGAATGCGAAGGGCAGTAAAGCACAGTAGCCGCTCCACTTGAGAGCCACACAGCGTGTAGGGAAGCTGACATTTTAAGATGGAGAATAAAGCGGAGAAAGGTGTTAGAGCGTGGTGGTTAGTTAACTGAGCATAAAAGAAAAGGGGAAACAGGATATGCTGCAATGCCTTCCATTTATTTATGTTGAGGCAAAAGTGATTTTTTTTTTTTTTTTTTTTTTTTTTTTTGCTTAAAGAGCCATAGTTTACATGTTCAAGTTTTCAAATACCACCAAAAAAGAAAAAAATCTGGCATGAATAATAACGTCAAACACGACATTTCGTCTTGCGGTTTGTATATATATTTATTGTTAAAAAAGCATCTTTAAACCTTCTTTTTGTATTATCAATGCAACTGTTTCGACTTAACTGATAAATAATTCATTGATCGACAGCGTGATATTTTTCTTGTGTTGGTCGTATCAGTTACACAAATTGGAGTGTGTTTTTGGTCTTTCAGTGTAATTTGGGCTTCGTACAAAAAGCACAAAACATTTTTTTCGTCCTTTCCTAATGTATATTAAATCCAAATTGTGACGCTCAGTAAAAAAAAATCGACCGCCCATGCTCTGTATTTGGTTCCCATACGTTTTGTTTTTTATCTGGCGGTAGTCAAGGTTTCATATCCCGTGCTGCTTAGTCTCTGTAACTAGGTTATCTCCGCCGCCCGCCGGTTGCGTGAGAATAAATCAAACTAAGTCCAATTTCACAAGGCAGCTGCTTCGACCAGTATACCCCGAGTTTCCACGCGTCCATGCCTTGTTTTATAACCACCCTTCTTTGTATATACGTTAAACTAGACGGTTAACGCGAAAATATGGAGATTGAGACCGGAAAGTCCTGACACTCAGGGTGCCGCGATGGTGAAATAAAGGTTGTGTCGGAGCGTGAATATCTGCCCCCAAAAATCAGGGTACATGGACTCCCACACATGCACCAAAATGTGATGAATTGCACAAATATCTTACCAGACACATCGATGGCTAAAAGCTTTTTTCCAGCACTAAATATATGTTATTTATTACAGCAGGTGCTGTGGAGATTCTGCCTTGTTACTGTTGTTAAACCTAATCTATATAGAAAACCCCGCTGTTATTACATTGTCTGTGACTGTCCAAAATTCTAGATATATTTTTCTATCTCATTTGTATTTCCCTTTTATCGGAGGTAAACTATAAGTAGATATTTTTTTCTGACCTAATGGCAGCAGAAATAATTCATATCTTGTCTTAGACATTTCAACCCTAGCCTCTGGAAGTCCATGTACCGTGGCTGAATGCTACTGAGAGAGTTTGAGTTGCATTATATGGCTGTAAATAAGCCCAAGATTAGAATATTTTAATTTTTACTAAATTGGTTATCGACAAATGTTTGAATTTGAGGTAGTGCTACGAGGTTTACAATTAATGAGAGAAAGAGAAAGCGTCTTTGTAATCCCGAGAGCGTAAAAATCAGTTTTCTCAACGAATCTCTCCTTATGCTTTCAGGCGCATCTCATAATGTGATTTGTGTATCTTGGGATGAAGCTCGGATTATTGGTTTTAATAGGAACAAGATTATTGGATATAATTCCACTTTTCGTGGGATTGAGTGTTTTGTAATTGTGCTTTATAATTATGAAATGAAATGTTTAATAAAACTGACCAAATTGTGTTCATCTTTGCAGGTTTCACAGAGTCCTCTAGTCTTATCCTTCTTCGAGTCACGAACCACGGACCCCAAGCCGTTCAAACACGACTCCTCTCTCCATGACAACCAGCATGACGACGACGATGACGTGGACTACCTCAACGGTAACCATGACGACGATGACGACACAGATTTCTTCATAGACATGACGGACCTCATGCTGACTGAGGACGTGGATTGGAACATGGCGCTGCAGCCGAACAGCCCCTCCAGCAGTAACGCAATATGGGGCTCATATCTTGACCGCTGTCCGAAATTGCTCAGTAGCAGCATGAACGACCTGACGATTGACCCTTTCACTTATACAGAATTCGCGGAGACTTTGAGTGAACAGGAGGAAGGAGTGAGTGACACAGAGAACGACAGTGGTGTGCAGGAAGACACCTTGACGGAGTCCTCGACCAGCAGTTCCTTAGACTCCATCAGCAGTTCGAGCAGCGTCAACAGCAGCTCGTGACGTCATGACAGCACATTGTGACGTAATGACAGTAGCTCGTGACGTCATGACAGCAGATTGTGACGTAATGACAACGGTTCGTGACGTCATGACAGGGACACGTTAGAATACGACTTTTCTCACGAAGTCCGCCGAATTTTGTCGGGTTCAGTCGTCTTTAGACGCTACTGAGATAACGCAGAAGTGACCTTAGTGGATTTCATAATAAGTCAGGTTTGGCACAGCCAACATATAACACTGCAATATAATTTCAGTGTATGAGATTCAATCAACCAACAATTGACATGATGAGTTGGATGAATTCCTACAGTTGCCAAAATATCTCATGGGAGAAAACTGCTGTTTAATCTGACTGTTAGAAACCAAGCTGACGTTTTAAACACACCCGAAGAACTGCTTTAAGAGACACTGCTGGTCAGTGAGATGACGCTTTGGGTGTGTGTGGGGAGTCATGGCGGAACGTGGAGATTTGCATTAGGATAACATAATGTGAAACTGAGCAATTGTTTTATTTGCGGACATTCATGACACTGAAATACATCATGACACTAAAAAGATCCTTTGAAAGACATTATTTCGAAAACAAGTGCAACAATAATATTTAAAAGATGTGCAATGAAGACATTACCAAAAGCATTAGGATTGTGATTACTGTCTTCCTGTAATAATACATTAACAAATGAGTTCTTCCTACCACTTCGTCTTCCGTTAGACCTACGTGTATATAATGGGGTCTAAAAATACTCGCTGACTGACAAAACAATGTGTCCAGCCATTTTCTGGAATTGCATTAGTTAAGGTATAGCCGCCTTCCCTAAACCAGGATGTGACTGCACAGAGGTTATAACAAATTCTGGAAACCGGAAGTCATCTTGCAGGCGTTTCAACCGGATTCAGGAGACGCACCAGGACAAAGAAGTCATATCATTGACTTTAAGTGGTGCAAAAGTAATAATTGTTTCTTTTTAATTTGAGAATAATGTAAATATTTTATTCCTAGAATTGATCCTCTGTCTTCCATCTCGAACGCCTTGGCACTAAATTTGGTTTCTAGAGCAAAATGTCCAAGGATTCCTCATGTCTCGTTCTGGTTCTAATTCTATATGGAATCGTACGAGATAACCCGAGTGCTTTGCTTCCATTCTTTATCAAATGAGGCAAAACAATGCGTAAATATTAGATGGCAGCTGGCAGCATGTTTTGGTGTTTTGACTGATCCATACAATGTGGAAATTTAAATAATTCTGGTATAGAGACGTTCTCGGCTCCATTTTGAATTGCTCTGTATGTGCATGCACCCAGGGCTTTTATTTACGCAGAATAAGTGTTGTCTCTAACTGAATTGTAATTTCCTTAATCGTGTTTTCATATATGTCGTATCGTATGTAGGGATCGAATATCTTCGTACCAAATGGTATTAGAGGTTTTCTTGTGATCTAGATCAGAACAAAACATCCACCGTATAAAGAAGGCGGGCCATATTGGAACAAGTGAATGATTTACCATTGTGTTAAGTGTTTTATATACGGTAGACTACTAACAGCATCCATCAGACTAGAACTGACTTGTATCGATATGTTATAAGATATATTAACACTGGTCAATCTCGTTGGTCAAGATATTTAGACACTGACCATGCCCATGACATTGCTCATGCGATATATAATTTGACCATCACAAGTGTACCATTGATAAATGTCCAGAGGTCATTTGTAAGGTATTTTGATGGCTAATCAGGACATCTAAAACACTGTATGTTCGGTTCCGTGTACTTCACGACTCAATCCTTAATGGTCCATGTGTGTTGAAGTACCGATACTTATCACATTAGGGCTGTCACTTATATATACACACCCAGAAATTACTCCCAAGAATTTTCGACCAACCCGTCGCATTTTTATAACACTTTGGTTATATAAAAGCTAATCTACGTACGTGAACTTAACAAGGACTAAGTGCTTCTAGTACAGTGTGCTCATCAGCCAAATTCAATTACTAACGTGTTTAGGTTTAACTTAATGGTAATTTCTAAATGTTTGGTACTTTTGGCGTCCAGTGATATAAATTTGCACTGGAATCTAATATTAAATCAAGCAGAAGAGCCGAACACAGATTAAAGGGGCATGTTTTATGTGTATATCAGTTCACTATGTTTTGTTTATAGTTGAGACAACTGCAATACTTTCTCCAAAGGACTATATTCGTGTTTTTATTCATCGTTTTAAGTTGTTCATCTGTTTGGTATATAAATCATTAGCATGGATGTGATTTTAAGTTTGAGTGAAAAGTAATGGAAATTACGATTAAAGATACGAAGAGTTCTTGAAAATTGTAAAATGTATGTAAAATCATTCACATAGGATGTGCAAGAATTCTGTGGCAGATAGTGAGAATGGGGTGTTGTACGTGATTTGTACGTCTTAAGTCATTTTGTTTCTTACTGCTGTTGATCGTGTGTTATTGTTATTGAATATATACATCGTCACTTTATCATATTACACAAAACTCATGTTGAATCTACTTGAATGTTTTAATAAAAAAGGAGCTATGTGATCATTTATTGGTGTTCAGTTTGTCAATTACCGGGAAATTCCTTTGATCTCCAGACTTACTTTAGACATTACATTTTGATTAAATTTGGCCTTTCAAGTCAGAATGAAACACCCAAAGGGAGCATGATGTAAATACTAACATTATTTAGATCACATATGTGAAGAAATGTAAACAAACTCTACCCTGTCCCTGTGATGAAAACATCATTGATGTCGGGCATTTTGGAATTGACGGACATATTGAATTTACTGCCTTTTACATTATGCAAATCTGTAACTCAAAGGTTCTCAACACTCCTATCAATATGTGACGTGATCGTGCTCTTTTTGTCATATACTTCTTCTAATTTTTCTGTCATATTTTCCTTAAAATATGCTATGGAAGAAGAGACGGCATATCTGCAGTGAGAAATGTCAACGATATCCAACCTGTTGTATAGAAGGATATGAAATCTCGGTCCAACAACACTAACGCTTTGACTTCCTTGGTGTAAAAGTACTTAAAAACGTCTTACAGAGGGGAAATCTGGCGCCGGTTGTCATTCAATATCGCGAGACTGCGATCACTTAAATTCATCTGTTTTGTTGTTTTTTATTGGAAATAAAGGTTTAATTTCGCTCAAATGCAGAGGCGAACACAAATACGTTACATCAACAAGCTTTTTTTTTTGTAAGAAAACCATCTGTAAATTAACCTGCGTCTACTACTCTTACATACGATAAGACCTGTTTCTGGAACCGTCCTGCTTTCGATTCTCAGCCGTTCCCAGAAATGAGGAAATAAGGAGAGAGAGGGAAACTGTTTTCTATTATCCCTGGTTGTAAAAATTTGGTGTTTGAGCAGTGTCCGTAGCTATCGCAGCAAGAACCATCTTACCTATTGGAAATTATTGTTTATTTCCTTCTGATGCACTACCGAATCTCAGTCTAATTTATCATTTACCACGCGTCACCTTTACCTTATTTCACCACGGCCCAAGACAGGGTGTCCGTGAAGCCAACCTAAGGTGACCATTTATCTGTCCAAAGTCAATCAGGGATACACTGACCAAAACATTAACATTAAGCAAATACCTCTATTGTATTGACCGTGGTATGTTACCTGGGTAAGGCATGGAACCCTTTAAGGTTAGAGATTAACCGCAGTAAGAAGTACCATGCAGGGTACCATGACAAGGTACCATCTGACACCACGGGAAGGTACCACACAGGGTACCATGATCAGGCACCACCTGATATCACGGGCAGGTACCACACAGGGTACCATGACCAGGTACCATCTGATACCACGGGAAGGTACCACACAGGGTACCATGACCAGGTACCATCTGATATCACGGGAAGGTACCACACAGGGTACCATGACCAGGTACCATCTGATATCACGGGAAGGTACCACACAGGGTACCATGACCAGGTACCATCTGATATCACGGGAAGGTACCACACAGGGTACCATGACCAGGTGCCATCTGATATCACGGGAAGGTACCACACATGGTACCATGACCAGGTACCACCTGATATCACGGAAAGGTGCCGTCATGGTACCCTGTATGGATAAAAAGTAACCAGAATTGAAGTATAGGGATGATTTTTTATCAGGCTGAAAGCGGACCCTGTGGTCTGAGAGTACTATGACATGTAGTGTTGATAACCATCAATATAAGTAAGGTTACCAAAGTGATGAAATCAGCCTAATCTCGGGGAATATTCTATACCACTGGAAATAAGAGAGAGAATGGATACATAAGATACCATTTGTTAAGAAAAATTGGGTTTGAAGTAAGTTACGGCGCAGAAATAAAATAGTGCTGTCCTTAGAGGAAAGCAGATCGATAGTCAGAGAATTTTGGGAGATTTGGTTTCAACAAATTTGCATCGAAGGAGAAGTTTTATTGAACGATGTTCGCCTGTAGTCATCTGATATACCAGATATAGAAAAAGTCTGTCAGCATCTAGATAAGTGTCGATTTTATTTTTCTTTTAGAAATGAAGCTGACCTTAACTGCTGATGTCTATTGACAGGGTCGTCCTTTAGTATGAAGGTCACACACTGTTGTGTTACTGGTGACAAGATCTCGCTGTCACTTGTCCACTTTTCATGGTTCACTTCCCAAAATATTGACAAAACATTGAATAATAAGATTAAAGTAATCGAACTCGTTTCCTAATGCATGCATTTTCCAGCGCAGATAAATCCGACTTCAAATGAATCAATGTTTTGCTTTCCCAAAAATATCTCCCCAAGTTTCCAAGACTACCGGATACCAAGAAACCCTGCTAGTACTTTCAATTTCCATTTACTGATATTGCAACTAAGTGGTCAGAGTTCTCTGGAAGTCAGTGTGAAAATTACTGATATAAACACGAAATGTACTTTGATAGAAGCATCCAAATCAAATTATATCAGTCCGACTCGATTTAGAAATGAAGTAAACGAAAACGTCAGCACCAACTGAAAATTGATTGGAACGCTTATGTCTCACTTTCCCAAAACTATTGGCATGTGTGTCTGATATATTTTGACTAGCACGTCCCGCGGGTCTGCTTAGAGCACTATTGTCTTTGCCTGCATTATTGACACTGGTCCCACTCGTGCTCCGAATAGATCTCAATAAATACAACGAGCGCATTTATCACTTCTGGGATGACAAAATTACACGGAAAATTAGATTACAGGAGAGACATGAATTATATTGAATCAAAGATGGATATGAACTAGATCGACTGCGGTTTGTTCCATTTCAGCCGGAGTGGAGATTAGTCTGTCTTTGCTCAGTAATTTATTCAGTACTTGGGTAAATATCGCTGCACTGTCCTCGTGGTGTCAGTTTAATTTAAAACCATGTCTATCCATACGCTGATAAATGTGCATATTTGTCTCCTAAGCTGAATTGGAGATGGTACTTCGTGAATCCACCCGAATGTGGTCTCTGAATGGACCGGTGATGATGGCAAAGAGAATACTCCTCTTGTAGAGGTCATTTCAGGGAAAATCTTTAAAATAAAGCACGTTTGTTGCGAAGCCGTGGCAATAAATTAAATGTAGGGAATTTCGTTGCCATGGTTCTAATCCCCCCCCCCCCCCCTGCAGCAAGGCGAGTTTACATCTAAATGGGACCAATCCTTTTCAGAACGATTCTTCACTAAGCTTGACTCACCTAAAGAACAAAAAGCGCACCCGTTTTCCAAACTATAGTCACAGAGGCTGTAATCAGTCTATATAAGAGAACAATTGAAACCAGTACCCCCGCGTGAAAATTGCATCTATACACAAAATAAATAGGCACATCCTAAAACGAAATCACTCAGCTCAAAATAAGTGTAAAAAAATTATCTTCAAAACTTTCAGAAGGTCCCTGACTTGAAAACTCGAGAGACAGATGATCACAGACAATATTAATTCTCGCTGACATTTTGTTTGAACAAAAACACCCTTTCTTATACAACAGCTTTGTTGAAAATCAGTTGCTGAGACATAATTGTAAAGTAATCCCATGTTTTACTAACAATGAATCGCAATCATTGCTGTGAATAAGCTATATTCATATAGTCATTTTTTGGTGCCACCTTATCTTTAATCCCGTAAAACTAACCGCGTGTGATAGCTTCATTACGTAAAATACGCCAATCGTCTTGCACGGTAGAAAATAAGAAATAATATTGGATAACCCCCTGCAAAGCAAGAGGAAAGATAAAAGGAAACCGCTGAGTGCAAAGCAACACATGAATGTTTGAAACTATGCTGCCTTAATAGATTTTGCCTTTCGTTTGGCCCTTATGACGTCATTGTGACGTAGATAAGATTTGAACTGCCATTCACATTCTGCATTCGTTATCTTTCTTTTTTTTATCTCGAAGAGGCATACTGGGCTACGATAAACTAGATCTCTCTTGAATTGCTCGGGTAGCTAAATATTTACATACTTTCTATAGAGTTCAATCCTCTATTTATTTTCTCTGGTGCTTGCTTTTACAGGACGTCTTAATCCAAGTTTTTTGGGCCGATTCCTATCGCATTTGCCGAAGCTGACGTAAGCATGGGGGAAATATCTGTACCATTTTTTTCTCCGCACCTGTATGTTGTCGACAAAATAGCTCCAGGTGATACAAATGTGTTCTCCACCGCTGGTAGTCTGAGGTAAATAATTACTGGAAAATCTTGCCATCCCAGATCTGTAAATGTCCTCCAGACCTGGGAAAGAATTTTAGAAAAAAGTTAAAGTGACTGTCTGCATTCTAGAGCAGTATTGTTATTTTAAGTATTTTTTTCTAATTTATTTTAATCACTTTTTATCCTGTTTGATTATTTATTTATTTATTTATTTATTTATCTATTTATTTATTTATTTATTTATCATTGTCCTGAAAGTTGCCAAGTTGTTCTTGTGGTGATCATGAAACTCAATATCAATTTCAATCATTGAATCATAGTTAATAACATCAACACAATTATCAAGACGAAAAATAACATTAATATTTGTGTAACTAAAAAACCAGAAATGCTTACTAGCAACGCATTCGTCAGTAGTTCTGAACAATACACTAGTTCTTCTAATAAGACAACAATGATAATCAGCAGCAGAAGAGAGAATAACAATGTTGTCTAACAAAACGGACGATTAGCCTAATTAAGCTTTCTGTAAAAACAGTGAACAGCGAGAATCAGAAAACAGAAAGCCTTGAAAATATGGCGCACAGTACTGGAATTTCAAACATTGAGTTCAAATTAAAACATTCTACCGGTAAGAAAAAAGATTATGTTGATGTGTAATGAAGAATGAAAAGGAACGTATCTTCAAAAGTACAAACAAGAAAAACTACCTTGATTCTGAAGCTATGAGTCGAAGGAAAAGCATTTACCTGTGCGTTCAGACAGACTCAAAACGCTTCTAGTTCAAAACCACACCTGGCAATGCTACTGAACCAAATTGTGCTTTCTATATAAAGTGAAAGAGAGAACTGGAAAATACACAGCAAAGGAACGGCATCAGTGAAGAACAACCTTGGAATTTCAAGAATTGTATTCAAAGCATTTCATGAA